AAACGTACTCCTCGTGACTGAGGATTCATTTGAGAAGCGTGTACGCTTTCTTTCCATCAATCATGTACGTGCGCTTGAGAAACGTGTGAAAACGTCGGTAGAAGTTCATGCTCACCGCGTTCTTCGTCATCATGGCCATTTGGTCTCCGGTGTTGTGACTCCATCCTTGATTGATGTACCCGCCATTTGCTTGAGGGGAGCGTGCACATCGACTCGAGTTGTAGGTCTTTAGAGACTCTCCAAGTTCTCCCTTGACTTTGGAGTAGCGAAGCAGTTTCATCACTGCCAACAAGCAACTTCGAAAGAACCCGCCGTCGAGCTTCGGTATCTCCTTGTTCTCTTTGAGAAGCCGTAGAATATGAAGGTTTGCCAGCAGGTACGCCTCCAGTACCCCTTATTCATGTCGGCGAGCACTTCCTCCCATGGCAACGCCCTGCCGGGCAGGAACCTTCCTCCGCGCTTGAAAAAGGTGTTCAAGCTTGTTTTAACCGCCACGCAGTTCGTGATCTTGTTACGAGCGCGCCTGGCGATGACGTCTGGCCTGGTGACGCGAGGCGGGTACTCGTCGGGGTCCTGACTCTCCTCGACAACATCCCAGTCCTTCGGGTAGTCGTCTTTCTTGCGCTTGCGCCTCATGGTCGAAATGAGGGAGTGAGAGACGACGCCCTTCTCCCACTTACTACTATTATACTACTAGTAGTAGAAACTAATCCAGCAAAAATTAAAAGGGTGTTAGGTTCTCTCGCTTCCCAACAAAGGCTGGTATGCAAAACGTGATTAGCGCTATAAATTATGTTTGTGGACGTCTTCGCTTAGTAAACTCCGAGCGCATCGTCCAACAGCAATTTGTCGAGCTTCTGCAGGGCTAGCTGACAGATTTCTTCGCCATCTTTTATCATCAGGTCGGCAAATTGTCTCCCGATGGAGTTTCCAGTCTGAGCGATAAATGTTTTCGACACCTCCTCGTTGTGGTCGAATCTGTATTTGGAAGCCATCTCAATACCTTTTGCGTACTGAGCCTCGATCTGACCAGCCACGTAGTGACTCGTGAAGCGCAAAACAGTACTCATCTCTTCGTCATAGTGTGAATTCACGAAATGACCAATCCTCGTAACCCTCTCTTTACGGCGGTCGTAAGCAAGAAGAGCCTTAACGCATTGAGCCATACTCATCGAGCCGTCCACTCCATCCTTCAGCTTCCCGAAAAAGCTCTCCAGCCTGTTATTTGTATGGTTCTTGAAGTGAGGTAAGTGAGCGCGAAGATAATAGACCCACCGATCCTTGCAGGAATCCCAGTTCTTTTGAAAGTAGGCGTAAAATCCATTCAATCCAACACGATCACAAATCCCTTCCAATGAATTGTGAGCAACTTCGTAACTGTCTTCATTTGCTGCGTAAACCATCTCGTGTACTGCTGCGTCGATTAAACTAGCATCTTCAGAAGCGATCTTCCCAAACTCGGGTTTTGATCGCATCTCTTTCAGGTATTTTATCACGTGGAAGTGACAAATCAAGATCCTGGCTTCTGGGAAATTCGTTTCCAATACTCGAATTTCGTTCAGGTCTTTATCCACAACGATCACGCGCAGCAAATTAATTCGAGTAGGATGAGAACGTTTGAAGTGCGTAATAGCACGCTCCATGTGCCAGTCTCCATTGGCTTCGATGAGAGACTGCTGCACAACTGCTCCTTCCCCAAATTCATTCATGTCCATGATGTAAGGAGCTGGTAGTTGTATCTAGCACAATAGAAACGAATATATGTTAGAATCCTTGAAAAATCCTGGTTAAAATCCTGGATAAAATCGAAGAAATATAGTCCTAAAATAATCGTGGATAAAATCCATCATTTAATCCTGGATAATTTAACAGATAAAATCTAAAAATAGAAATCCTGGACAAAATCCTGGATCTAAAAAAACATGGATATAATCCTGGAACGGAAAAATCCTACTCACCGGTTGGTCTTGTGGCTGCAATCGACGAGGAGAACTTCGCTGAAACGACCATAGATACGCCGCATGTGAGCGGTAGCCAGTGAAATGACTCCTGTTTCACCTGCATCCGTTTCAGACACTAAGGATAGGTTCTCCGGGTCCGCTGCAGCGAACGCAGCAATCTCGCGCGCTGTAGCCTCGTTATCATCCTGCGTAGAGAGAGAGCCTGAGTGGTCCCGGACGAGATTATCAACGTCAACTTGTATGACGTTTTGGTCATGCTCCAGTAAGTAGTCGTAAATGCGAGAGCGCTTAGCTCCCGCAGACAGCATGCCTTCCACACGCGCTCCTACAACCGGATCGTGAACTCCACGCGAAACTGGATAGGTCGCGTACGCTTGGGTTGAAACTTGGTGATTGTGGGTGTACACTCCATTCTTCACTTGTAGTTGCTCTCGAGCCACGTTCCATTGAACCACAAAGCGGAAGGGACAATCCGTCAAGCGAATGTGCTGGCGAGACCGCGTCCCTTCGCTTCGTGATTTCCGCTTCTTCCAGCCATGAGGGCATATGTACACTCGTTGATAGGGATCGCAACCTTCAGGTAGTAATATAGAGTCATCATCTGCTTTCTTGGTCTTCTTCAACCGCTTCAGTCGCTCAGCCCGAGACATGGTATCCTTAACAGGTAGAACCTGCCTCGTTCTCTCGCAGTACTGTACGAAGTACTGCTGCCAGGCGTTCCAGGACGGATGCCACACAGCTGGCGGGTCCACATCCACAGAATTACCGCTCTCATCGTTGTCTCCAGACTCCATGGACACCATTTCGAAACCAGGTGTCTCCTCCCTCTCGCTGCCGTCACCACCTGCCGTACCAGAAGCCCCTCCACCCGTTGTCTGGTCGTCTCCACCAGCTTTTGCATCGTTACCAGCGGTTATTGGCCGCAGCACGCCACCCCCTCGTCTCCCTCGCTTTCACCACTTCCTAACGCTTCGTTCACCTGCTCCTGCGCACTAGAACCTCCTCCAAGCGGAGGTGAACACACCTCAGTACCTTGATACGCTTGCGAGGCCTCTTGTCCTGCTTCTGTGGCCTCTTGTCCTGCTTATGGGGCGTCCGCAACGTCTTCGCCAGCACCTCGAGCCATTTTGCCTGTATAACCGCAACTGAACGGGATTTCGTTTCTCCCTCAATTCGGAATTAGCGGTTGAAATCGGAATTAAGTGACTTGAAATTTATGCAATGTTTTTTATCTTCGATCCTGGACAATCCAGGATTAGAATCCTGTACAAAACAGTACTAATAATCCTGGCCTCCAACGGTTTCGAAAAAAAAACAAGTGCTTCTGAGTGCCTGCGGGTGGCCCAGGAGCAGCTGATTGCTCGAAAGAGCTTCTCAAGCATTACTATTTTGCTTTGCGGTGGTGTCAGTTTTAGGAATTAGTAGTATACCTAGTTTCTACCGACTCATCCTTCGTTGCAATAAATTACGATTGGGTTCTAGTGATGAGGAAGTCACCTGGCATTCTACAGCAAAATCCAGTCACCGAGACGCAGAGCTGAAGCTAATTCACTTGATCTTTGCAGTCTCCGCACAGTGACCTTGATGGTTTATCTACGGCTGTTGCCTCCACGGTTGCCACCACCATTGCGGCCGACATTGAGGTTACCGGCATTGTCGCGCGTGTACGGCGACGGCTCGATGCCAGGCACGCCGAGGAGGTTCATCTTCTTGAGAGTCTTCTTCTCGAGCTTAGGCACTTCGTCCAGACCAATGATACGACTGTAATCGGCTGCAAGCTGCACGAGTTCCACGGGCTTCAGTTTCAAACGCCTCGAGTTCGAGTTGTAGAAACCGAGCCAAGCCTGGTACGACTGCTGAGCCGATTTCTCCACGTCACTGTAGCTCTTCAGACTCTTGATAACCTTCAAAGCACGCGACTGCGACGGTGCTAGCGTCTCCGGAACGTGCTTCTTGCTGGGCTCCAGAGGTAAATCAGCCAACTTGTCCAGTAGAGGCGTCTCGAACTCGGACAGAATGAGAACACCCTTGCCCTTCATACCAGCACGAGCTGTACGTCCAAGACGGTGGATGTATTGATCGCGATCGGTAAGACCCACTTGCAGCACGAGCGACACGTCCGGGTAGTCCACACCACGAGCCGACACGTCCGACGAGAACATCATCACCTTGTGGCCCTTACGGAAAGCCTCAGCAGTCTTCGTGCGCACTGCCTGACTCTTACGTGAGTGAATCTCCAGGACACCAGGGAAACCAGCAGCTTGGAAGAGCTGCGCCATGAACTGCGCTGAACGGGCCGTCGGGAAGAACAGCATTACTTTATACGCTGAGAGCTTCATGTGTTCAGACAGCACGCGCTCCACCATTGGGATCACTTCCTCCATCTTGCATATAACGTACTCCTGCTCGGTCTGCACGTTGGTATCCGCCTCGTTCTCGTCGATTGTGTCCACGAACGAGTAGTCCTTACGTAAAGCGACCTGCTTGAGTTCCTCCGTGGAGGCAGGCAAAGTGGCGCTGAACAGCAGCGTCTGACGCTCCTTCGGCAGGTATCCGATGATGCGCATGACGTCAGGACGGAATCCCATGTCCAGTAGTCGATCGGCTTCGTCCAGAATCAAGACACTGGCCTTGCCCAGACGGTTAACGATATTACCAGTGTTCTGCTTCAAGTGGTCGACGAGACGGCCGGGTGTGGCCACCAGGATATCAATCGGCGTGCTGCTCGTAAGCGTGCGCTCATCCTTCTTGATGTTAGCACCACCCACGAAACAGGCGACATTGAACTCGTGGAACTTGGTGAGACGCTTAGCCTCCGTGGAGATCTGCAGCGCCAGCTCACGCGTGGGCGAGATGGCCAATGTGGGGATGACGGCGCCCGAGCGACGTCCCTCCTTGACCATGTTCTCGATCACAGGAAGCAAGAAGGCGATAGTTTTGCCGTTTCCAGTCTTGGCCTTGGCGAGCACGTCCTTGCCCTCCAGAATCAACGGAAACGTCTCGTTCTGCACGTTCGTGAGGCGCTCGTACTTGAGGTCTTCCACGATGGCACGCTTGGTTTTGGCCGAAATGTCCAGCGAAGCAAACAGCACGTCTGATAGGTAGTCCAAATTCGCGGGCTTAGCAGTCGTGGTAGCGGGGGTTGGAGCTTCCTGCTTCACGGGGGCGGCAGCGACAGGCGCCTGCTTGGTCTGACCGTTCGCATTGGCATTAGCGTTCTTGTTGCCGTTGTTCCGACGGCCACCGCGACGCGGCTTCTTCTTCTTGTGCTCGGCGTCACTGTCCTTGCGTCCACCAGAAGGCGTCTTGCGGCGCCAGTTGTGGCTGTTGCTACCGTTGTTGGCGTTCTCTTGACCAGGCATGATCTTCAGGGTTAACTTGGGTGCGTGTCAGGTCAGGAATGCGGAACTGAAGCTTCGTCTTCAGAAGTTAAACCGCCTTCCTCCAACCGTGCCTTTTCGCCAGTTCACTTGGAGTTTGTATGCGGCTCATTGCAATTGTTGAAACTGGTATCTAGCATATTGTGGCCGTTTCTTTCCATAGATCTTATTCGATCTCCTCATTTGATTTTGCATTATTTTCGAAACACAATTATTTTCATTGGAAATAACCAACGTTACGATCAGAGGTCGAAGCACTGATGTCGACGCTTGCAGATTCATTCTTGGACGACCTGGATGAGCTGAGTGGGGGAAGCAGTGATGAGGAAGACACGCCGACGTCCTCCTACACCCCTGGCGGTGCTTCATCCGCCGATGCCGAGACAAATGGCGACGATGACGACGAAAAGATGCCAGATGCCGCCCAATCTCGACCAGCTAAGCGGAAGCGCGAGAATGACGGAGAGGAGAAGAATGAAGACTTGGCCGAGTCGCTACGATCCAGCGTCAAACAGCGTGGTATAGCAGCCGTCGCGACACTCAAACGTTCGCCCAAATACCTGGCTCACGTTCAGAAAATTCAGGAATACGTGGACGTGGACGACGCCTCTGTTACTGCCGAACCGAAGCCACTAGAAGAAGGAAGCGCTGAGTACGAGCTGGTGGTGACTTCTAATGACTTGATGGTGCAAATTGACGACGAGATCGAGGCCATTCACCGTTTTATCGCTGATATCTACGCTGCTAAGTTCCCGGAGCTGGACTCTCTCGTTCCCAACGCGCTGGACTACGCTCGTGTGGTCAAAGTCATTGGCAACGAGATGGACTTAACGCTTGTGGAAGAACTGCCTAAACTTCTGCCTAGTTCAGCTGTTATTGGAATCTCCGTTACGGGTTCCGGCACCAGTGGCAAACCCCTGAGTCTTGAGGACTTGAAGACCTGCATGGAAGCGTGTGACGAGCTACTGTCGCTGGATAAGGACAAGAATATGATCTTGCGCTTCGTGGAGAGCCGCATGAAGTATTTGGCGCCGAACGTTTCGCAGCTCGTAGGCACACGTATCGCTGCGCAGCTTATCGGACTTGCTGGCGGGGTGGCGCAACTTGCACGGATCCCGTCGTGCAACTTGCAGGTGTTGGGACAAGAAAAGAAAGTTTTGAGTGGCTTTTCATCCGCTGCAGCGCTCAAGCATACAGGTGTCCTGTTCTTCAGTGACCTCGTGCAGAGTGTGCCACCGTATTTGCGCATGAAGGCGTGTAGAGCCGTAGCTGGCAAACTAGCGCTGATGGCACGCGTGGATAGCCAGCCTCATCAGAATGATACGGAAGGTTTAGTCGGTGCTCGCTTTCGTACCGAGTTAGTTGGTAAGATGGAGAAATGGCAAGAACCCCAGAAGGCCAAGACGAAGAAGGCGCTGCCTATTCCAGACGAGAAACCGCGCCGCAAACGCGGTGGCAAGCGCTACCGCAAGATGAAAGAGCGGCTGCAGATGACAGATGTGCGACGTGAAATGAACCGGCAGTCGTTCGCTACAGCTGACGAAGAGTATGGTGACAACGCAATGGGAATTACATCTGGCCGTCTTGGCCAAGAAGGATCGGGCAATTTGCGTATTATGCGCAAGGAACAGAAGCAGTCAAGCAAAAAATTGCGCGCTGCCAACTTTGCTGCGTCTTCTGCTAGCAAGCCGCCGCTTTCTGGTTTGGCATCAAGTCTTGCGTTCACACCTGTGCAAGGCATTGAGCTCATGAACCCTGAAGCTGCGAAGGCTCGCGTTGCCGAGGCCAATAAGAAGTACTTTTCTGCTGCTAGTGGCTTCGTCAGTGTTGTCAAAAAGCCCTGAACGTCGCTCCCGCTGGCAGTGTATGAATCCCTTTCGAGCAATAACCATATTCAGAAATGAATCTAGCATTTTGATTAGTGCAATTGATGTATATTCTGTAAAGTTGGACCATGTATCTACCAGGTAACTAACTAGGCAAGGCAATAGTCACCTGTGAGTTGACAACCTTGTCCGAAATACGTTCAATTGAGCACGTGTGGCACCTACACAGTGACTGTGTTTGTCAATTCAGCGCCTAGGATCTCGAGCGTCGTAATCGATTGTGCTAGTAGATCCGCGGAGAACCTGGCACTTTGGCCAAAGAGAATGTCGATGCTCGAGGTTTTGTACACAGCTCCAGTGGTAGAGTTTGGCTCCGTTGTCCAAGTATTTATCGGTCCATCAACATATTCCAGAGCAGACAAGTCGAATGTGACAGTTTGAGCGTCTCCGAAGTTCGTCGCCACGATCACCATCACTTGGGTGTTTTCGTCGTATGCAACAACGAAGTTCGGATACTTGTCCAAAGCATACGAGGATGATCCAGGAAGCAAAGTGTTTGGATCATCGAACTTCAAGATGCTCATGCCAGCGTGAATGTGGCGAGAGTAGTGGGCCATCACGTAGTGCTTTGGGTTTGCACTGCCGATCCAATTGTCTCCCGGGTTCGACTGAATGAGTCCCAGCACTCCACTATCAAGCGCTTGCTTGTAAACGAACGCTGAAGCACCCATTTCGTTGATGTCTCTAGCGATGGCATCAGCCATGGTGAGCCCACTCGCATCCTCGTCGGCATACATAGAGTCCCATAGCGACGGACGCTTAGTCAGCGAAGAAACCATTCCTTTCAACTTGTCGCGGTCGTCGCCGGCATATGGAGCCACACCGTCGGAGCAATGCGCGTTTACCTTGGCAATGGCATCAATACCGGGATACTCGCTCTGTGTCATTTGTACAACTACGTGGAGAGCTTCCTCAGGATTCTTTTCTTCAGCTCCAGCAATGAGCACATTCTGGAGGTTAAGCTTATCCAACTGCGTCCGCAACACCTTCAAAATGTCGCTCTGCGTCTTGACCCCCAAGTGACAGGCTTCCTGCGATTCCGGAAATGCCCAGGCCTTGCTGTTTGCCTCGTTGAATGGTGCAACGTACTTAAACTCGACACCCCAGTTTGATTTCGCCTTGCTTACCACTGTCGCCAAATACACCGCGAACTGCTCCAAGTACGCGGGGTTTAGATTATCAGCTGCTCCATCGTCTCCACCAGCGGTGGCGCGGTTGTTTGTCATCCACCAAGGAGGAGAGTTCGAGTACGCTTCGAAAACATTGGCACCACGCTTCGATGCCAAATCCAGCATGGCACGCTGGTTCGCATCTGCGTCCCAGTTCCAGCTCTTCGACGCTGGATCAGTGCTGGTCCAGTCCAACCAGAACGACTCGATCGCCTTGAATGCAGACATCTTCTCTGACGTCTTCATCGCAATCTCCGTCCCGCTGTCGTCGATAACATTGTTTCCTGAACCACCGATGTTGTAGCGTGCGATATTGAAATTGAGTGCAGGAATGTCTTTAGCTGCACCTTCGATTGAGACGGATGACATGTTGGAGAAGAGCACGTCGGCGATATCTTCGCGGTCTCCAAAGACGTTGGCCCACCATGACAGCGATGTTCCCCAGCCTTCCCATGATTCGAGAATTGGAGTTGTTTTGATCGAAATCCGATAGGCTATGACTTGCGAGAGTGAGTTAGCTAAGATGACCACTGCAAGTGTTGACGTTAAAACGGATCGACTGCTTATCATTGGCGTTCCTCCCGATGAATTCTCTGGTTCTTCTTCCGCAAAGTAAATGTGGAAATGGGAAGGAAGGAGAACTGACCAGTACATGTACGGAAAACACAAATGCGGATGCAGCTTATACCTGGGGATCAACTGATAGCGCTCAAGATCTGCAATTAGCCGGCTTGGAAGATTTGTATTGTAGCTCGGAGACTAATAAATGTCAGTATTGGGGTGATCATCGTCATCGAAAGTTGAATCAGCATGGATATATGATATGTTGTTATCCGTACAATCAGGACAATTTTTTTTTTCGAATGCAGCCCTGCGTGTTTGATACGTCAACGTTGGTGGTCCGGGGAGTACTGTCCAGGTAGCGCTGGTCAAGGACGTCGGATAGGATCCTTTTTCGTGTTTGGATACTATGTTCATTAGACCAGCGTCGTCCACCCATAGTTAAAGGAAATACTCCTCATACTTTTGCTCATAGATGATGCAGAATCTTCGGTCTGGGGTGCGTCGAACGCGATGCAGCGTTCCTGGGATCCGACCTTCCGTGGCTCGGTTCAAGGCGTGACCACAGAAGAGCACAATCTCCTTACCAGGGACGCACACCTTCTCGGCCTTAAGCCACTGCTTGGAGTGTTGGTCGAACACATCCAACCCCTCCACATTAGGCACAGGTTCCACGACGAACAGACTCGGGTCCACATGTTCGAAAACGTTTTCCGTCTCGGATTGTCCGCTACCCTCAATGTTCGGGTAGTGCAGACCGTAGCACACAGAAAAGTCCTTGTCGGTTCGTGAATGACTTGGCTCAATATCGTAGCCGACAGTCAAGCTCAACGCCCGGTCACAGATGCGTTGCATGCGGCGTTGAAGAGACAGCCAGTGCTTCTTGAACTCTGGCGATGGCCACACCAGCCTCGACATATCCCCGCATGCCACGCGGAAGCAGTCGCGCACACTTGTATGCTCGTATCCAGCATACCAAAACGGTTTACCGTGCTCATTGAGGTAAACGTGCTTGCTGGTGCAACCGTTTTTCCAGTCCTCATCATCGCTAGTGAAGAACGCCTCGAACTCCTGTAACACCTGGTCGTGCGTGCCCTCCAGCTTCTCACCGAGGTCTGTAAGCACCACGAACGAGTGGCGTTCCATCATTTCCAGAAATCGAGCTCGATTTTTCCAGTTGAGTTTGCTTAGTGGTAGTCGCGGTACTTGCACGCTAACTCCCGGGACGTCGTCAATCTGCTTTACTACTATCTCACTTGGCTTCGTGGCCTCGATGACATTGCTGTCGAGGGAAGATTCGCCACTTGCATTGAGGCGGTAGTAGCTAGCGGCCAAACTGTATCCGTTCGGCATGGGGGAAGCAGTCATCGCGGCGGTGCGGAGGAGGATAGAGACCAAGTACTGTAATCATGTTTAGTGGGTTTAGTGTCACCGTATGAAGGCCACACGTTTTGCGTGGTTTCAGCCAATCAAATCACGATAATGGAATAGTGCAAGTTTGAGACCATCACTCTGCAATTCAATAATGGCAAATTGTCTTTGGCCACTGCAAGGCAAAATGGTGTTGAGTGCGTACAATTTACTAGTTATTCTATTGTATAAGTTATCGTGGCACTTGCGTTGATGACACGAAAACCTGCACCTGAAGAATCCGGACACCAACAAGAGTCTAGCCTCGGGGATAGGTCGAAGTTGAGTGTCTTCGCGATATCGTTGACTCTGTCTTGGCTGAATGCGACTGATTGTTCTGCTTGCAGGCGAACACTTGTGTGTGGATCTGGTCAAGACCCTTCTGCCACTCCGGGGTACGTGGCTTGCTATATCTGCGCTTACTCTTGGCGGTGGCAAGAGCTCGATTGCGCTCTTCCAGTCGGCGACGACGCTCCACATTCATGGCCCTCATGGCTGCAAAACGTGGAGAACTCTCGTAGTCCATGTACCGAGCAACAGGCGATGAGTTCGAGTGGCTCTTTGCGCGATGGGGTGGAACCACAGGTGGTGTACTGCATGCTACCTCGGTGGTCGGAGGAACTTTCGCGGCCGAGAATGAAGAGCAACGAGACCTTGGTGCTACTGAGGCCGGTTTCTTGGAGGTATAGAGCGAAGAGCGGCGCGCTTTTGGGGCGGGGATTGACGACTCGTTCGTCGTGATCAACGGGGTTTCTTTCAGTGTAGCGCGTTGGTGGTGCACCTCCGTCACTTGCAAGTTCTCTGGGAATGAAGTACGTCTCGAGCGATAGACCGTCGGTTTGACATTCTTGTTGAAGTCTGGACTGGCCCTGCCTGACGCCTGCAGTAGCTCAGGTACGAACATGTCCAACGAGCTCAATAGCGAGTCCAGCGAGCTTGTGGAAGCAGTGGAATATGTCGACGGGCTGCGGGGTACGCCCGAGTAGCGCGTAGATTTGAATGAAGTGGTCGATTCCGCGACACTCTCGTCTTCGTACGAGTTGAAAGCCGTGTCGTCATCTTCGTTGTCCGACTGCAAGGTGTTGACCATGAGGCTTTTGTAGACAACAGGCTTCGTAGGAGCGATATCCTGTTCTTTCTCCGTCGGCTCCTCAGCGAGCTCCTCGAACATCATTTGCAAAAACTCCGAATGCGTGGGAGTATGCTGTGCGTCTAAACGATTGATAATCTCCTTCACAAGCGAGTTGTCGATCTTAAGCCTCGTCATGGGCCCAATGTGCGGGATCCCGGATTTGGCGTTGGTTTGAGCCATGAGCTCAAATTGGTCGATGCGTGCCTGTACACTCGTGGTGCAGTTCATTATGATTAGAGTTTCTCTCTCTCACACAAAGACTTCAAAATGTTTCTCGCAATGCTGGACTAGGATCTCGTCAGCTGGAGCCCTATCGGGTGGAAACGTGAATGGCGAACACATCGCCTTACGGCGGTCAACTCGACTGGCATGTTTACAGCGCCGTTTCAGTGCGCTGGGCTGGCTTTTCCGGTCCCTTTCTGGCGCTTCCTGAACTTCCTGGACACCATAATCAGTGCAGCCATGTAAAACCCCAATTCAATGATCTCGTTTCGAGTTTTAGCCAATGGAAGAGATTGTTTATCTTTTCTAACCAATCCACGGGGTCAATATTTGAAATCCAAAGCGCGGCGAAAGATCGCGCCCAGTGACAGATGGTGCGACAAAAATTCGATTTTCGGCCAATTCCACTGGTTGGTGATCACTTCAATGTCAACTCAATGTCCACTCTTCATTTTGTCAACGTTTCCGCCTTGGACGAGAACTTCTTTGAAATGATGCGCATGACTTCGATCGTTGCAGCTGCGGCTGCACAGCGTCCACAACCAGTGGACCACGCCCTAAGACAGGTAGTCAGGGCCTCATCCAGGTCGCTGTCTACTACACTCACTAGACGTCGGAACTCGGCGCCGCCGACGTTTTTTTGCGGCGTTCTCGCTCCTTACCCATTTGCTCCTGTACAAATCGGCCAAAGGATTCCGCCAAGTTGTCAATGCGCTTCTCGTGCTCGTGGTTCAACGCTGATAGCTCCCGCTCCAATCGCAGCACTTGACCCTCTAGAGATGCGATCAACGCTGCCTTCTCCTTCATGATAGCGGCGCTCTCCTCGGCCGCGATCTTTGCGCTAGAAGTCAGAATCTAGAAATAGTCGATCAAAAACAATAATCCACATGAATACGAGGCCAAACGGGAAGCTACGACTGTTAGTGGACGCACCTGGATCCGTTCGTCGAAGTTTGCCTGCATCTGCACAAGTCGGGCGTCCTGCTCCTCCATCTTGCGCAGCTGGAGTCGCAGCTTCTCCTCGATGCGAGATCGTTCACTCACCGCTGCAGCCAGCAGCGTCTGCTCCTCCTGCAGTGTCTTGGCCTGCGTCTCCATCGCCGTCTCCATCTCACGCTGCTGTTCATCCTTCGCCTGCAGTAGTGATATATTGTCCTGACGCAGTTGGATGATGGTTTCGAGGTGTTTTTCCACCTCTCGCTCAAGCTGTTGCCGAGCCTTCTTCACCTCCGCTACTTGAGCTTCGACCGATCCGACAGAGCGCTGGATTCGTTCCTGCATCTCTGCTTCCCAGTGCTGCTTCAAGTCACCAATTGACTTCTCGTGATCAATCTGAGACTGCAGCATCTTGGCTTGCAAGGCTTCGCACTTATCCTTGAGCTCTCGAACACTCCGCTCACTCGCTTCAAGTTGTGCTGAAGTGTAGCTGAGCTGCGTCTGTATGGATCCAGTAACCATATCATGCTGCCGTTGAGCCGCGCTCAATTTGCCTTCGTGGTCCGACACCAGCTTCGCTTCTTTGCGGCTGTATTCTTGTTGAGTATCTTGAAGCTGTTTATGTAGCTTCCCTATTTCTTCCTCTTGTGCTCTGCCCAGTACGTCAAGAGTTAAGGTTCCTTAACTGGATCGACTAGTATGAACTTACCTTATCGTGAGGGACGTACGATGCATCTCGTTATCTAGTGTATATTTGACCTCTTCAAGCTGAGAAATCTGCTTGTCTTTCTGCTCTGCTTCCTTGGAGCGCAGGGCCTCCATGTGCCCCATCTTATCTCGGATGACTGCATTCTCGCGCTCGAGTGCTGTTCGTGCTGACCGGTATTCTTCAAACTCGAGCTTTCGCCGATTCTCAAGTTCGTCCAGCTGCATCCTCAGCTCATGGGCATCACGCTTTGCGTCGATCTCACGTTGTTGATAGCGATCTCGCTCTTCTTTTGCCATCTCAGTATCTTTGCGAACTTGTTGCAGCTGTAGCTCAAGCTCTTCGGTTTTCTCTATCTAGTAGAAGCTCAAAGCACATATGAGACCACTGCGACTACAGGCAAGGTAGTATACGCTTCGTACCTTACCATTTTCTGTCGTTCTCGCTTGCCTAGACTCACCGCTGTCTCCAGCTCCTCCTTCTCCGCAAGGACTTGGAGTAGTAGCTGGTCATCCGGAGCAGCTTTCGGGCTCTCTTTGTTCGCCCCGCCATTTTGGCAAGATACGTCGACTGCCAGAGGCGGTGGTCTCTCCGTGAAGGCACGATTCCTAGCCAGTAATACCTCGATCTCGTCCACATGCTTCAAGCTGCTATTGTTGCCCATAAGCTCCAGTGTCACAAGCGCGTAATTGCTCTGCAACGCTTCCCGAAATGCCAACACACCAGGATTCCCAATCTCATTCCAACGCAAGTCCAATTGACGCAGCGTACGATTGACTCGGAGAGCTTTTGCGAGTGCTTTGGCACCCTCCGGTCCAATGTTATTGTTACGCAAGTCGAGTATTAGCAACCGGTTATCCACTTCCAGCGCCCCAGCGAGAGCTTCCACGCCTTGATCCAGCAGACCGACATTGTTCCATTCCAAACTGATGGCGACCACGTTGTGTGAAGAACGCAACAGTGTCGCAAGTGCTCGTGCTGCCCCAGCTTCAAAGCAATTGCCGCGTAGATCTAATCGTGTCGGGACGCTCGCGCGTCGGGCCTTCTCGATGATCTCCCCGAACTTGTCGTCGCCGAGGTACGAATTACTGTAGTCCAACACTGTATTAGCAGGGTTTACGAGAGAGGAGACGAGTTTGGGGTGCACAAGAGCTGCAGCCTCCGCGTTTTCATCGAGATACTCTCGCTTCGGTGAGATCGCCATCGGCGTCGGGGCAAGAATACACACCGATCTTTAGAAGTCAGTTGCGCCCATTCAATTAGATCGGGCCCTTCAACAGATATTTGTTTCAGACAGCCCAGCAGCTAGATGCACGGTAGAAACTCGCCGCAAATGTATTCATGTCTTTTGGAGCTGCCCAGGAATCTATATGACTCATGTTCTTGTTGTAGAAGCTGCGGTGTTGGCGAGTATGCGCTGACCAACGACACTGAACGTCACATTGCGCTTACGAGAATGACTTGACCACCACCATCAATAGACAGGTCTAACAACTGGCAAAATGCACCAGAAGCGCGCTCAACCCTCCACAGCCGATGCCAGGAATGCTGACGGACCCAACACAACATTGTGTGGTGGTCAACAAGGATCTGGCTATTAGAGTTAAAGGGGTCCGGCTGTCAGAATCGATGTTATTTAGGGGGAGTTCTTGAGTTGTAGTTACTAGCACGCGAATGAATTTGCTGGGACGGGCCCAAATGTGCAATCCGCACGCCATTATAATTCGTGCAGGCACCGCGCAAATTATAGGCAAGTAAACTTGGTGAGCAGGAAAATGGGATGTCGCGCCACATCCAGCTCTGACGTGCCCCGTGTGAAGCGCGGCTCATTCTCACCACCGTATATGGTTGCAGTTTCAACCGTATTAAGACCTTTACCGTAGCATTTTATGGGGAGAGAGTGTTCCCAACATGTGCATTCGGCAGCCATACAGCTGGTTGCCAAACCTCTGCAAACATACAAGTCCAAACTACTGCCGTTCGTTACTACAACGCAGAGAATCCACGTGTGCGGGTACATATAAGAGATCATCCAGCCGTCTAATCTGCCTCACTTCTCAAAACTCGTGGAGGTGGCAAAGTCTCGTAACTTATATCCTGATCTCAATGAACCCTGTCAGTGAAGCTCCTTTAAGGCTGCTCTCGCGTATACAGGATAATATCGATGATCTTCAATGTGTGGATCTGGTAGAGTGCTCTGCTTCCGGTCGACGTTTCATCGACAAGCATACACTCATGACTTCATGTACCCCTGAAGGTTGCAATGCAAGTGCCACTGCGTTACATGAATTGGACCTCCACCTCTCGATTCGGGATACCGAGAACGTCGTCAAGATAGAGCGTCATTCACTGCAAGGGGAGAGACTCCACCTTTTGCATGAACATTGTGGTCGTGGTGACCTGCTTGAGATCATGCAACAAGAGATTAGACTTCAAACCGCGGGTGTGTCACCTCAAAGCTCTTCGATGATGACATTAACTGATGCTGGCAGACGTCGTGTCTTCACCTCAATACTACGAGGCGTTCACGCACTGCACACTGCCGGAATCGCTCACATGGACTTGTCGCCAGAAAATATTTTCGTCACGAATGCCGGCGTCGTAAAGGTGGGTGATCTGGGCCACGCTCGTCGATTCAACCGCAATCAACCAAGCATTCAGGTCCTACAAGTTGCCAAGGAGGCCTATGCTGCGCCAGAGCTGCTATGTCATACTGAGGTTGAAGATGCGCGTTGTGCCGATGCCTGGTCGCTCGGCGTCATTCTGTGGACTCTGTGCACTAAGCGTGCCTTGGTTCACCGCGCTCCGTCTTCAACTGACGGTGATAAGCTCTTCTCTCAAATGGCTGAACGCGGCACAGTTGTCGCTCTTCAGGAGACTGGGCTCCTATCGCATGTATCAGCTTCTTGTGTCGATCTCATTGCTGGGCTTCTTGATATGAACACTAAAACGAGATTCTCAGTGGCGACAGCGTTGCATCACCCGTGGATAATGCAGGAGATCGCGACAACTAAGCAGCAATCTCGACGGAAGTCTATCGGCAGTATGATCAAGAAAAAGGGAGAGGAGTTCATAATGAAACACCAGCGTCCGACCGAAAAGAAGACCCGAGTACGCACCGCCAGTGCAGAAATTGCACTTGAATCGACACGTGTCACCTTGACATCTCGAAGTCTAGAAGCCTAAAAAAGCATATCAAGCAAGAGACGCTTAAAAACATTCGTAGAGTGTACAAGCACTAGTAGATATATTATATCGGGATTATCCATATTAATACCCGAGATTTTTTTAACTCGCATAAATTAACGAAATACGTTGTTGGCACCCGAAAAAAAAAACCGTTATCTAGTTCGTTTCCTCTAAAAGAAAAACATGAAACCAACACCTTTGCCATCACTCGCTCCAACCGTCGCTCCGCTTCATCAAGTACACTTCCTTTGATTCAGTTTCCCAAGACACGGTTTGGATCTATGCGTCGGCATTTCCTCTTCGCCGAGGACGAGGAGGAACGCAGTGTCGGTGTAGGTAAAGAAAACCTGCTTCGATTATGGTTTAATCGCCGAAATGCTATGCTGGAAGGCGACGAATCTGCCACTGAAGGTGAAGCGAACGCGTTGGTAGCACGAGAATTGACACAACTCTGGGATTTGGCCAAGCCTATGGATTCCTGTACTTTAAATCGCGAGGGATACGTCGGATTATTCGCACGAGCTGCGAAAGCAATTGTACTTCCATTATCAACTGATGCACTTGCAATTGCTGCAGCACAACGAGACTGGGAATACGATTTGGAAGGTGTCGGAGGTATCGGTGAATCCTCGAAAACGTCACCAATCGACAACGAAGTTATGTCACCTGAACAATTCCGCGAGGCTGTTATGCAGCTCGCAGAAATTATTCTACCCGTTGAAAGTCCCGTCGGGGTGTTTGCAAATTTCTTTAAGGAACTACGGAACTCTATCGCGGAACTTGTCGTGTCCTACTCTACTAGCGAACCGGAGCAAGATGAGACCAAATTGGTTGAGCCAGTCGATCGCTTCACGTTGAGACCATTGAATCGGATCTCGAAAATTGCGAACGAGTTTCTGCAAAAGCTACCGCCTTCAAGTGATACGTTGCGAAATATTCGAGGGCTGCAACCTCCGGATCAACGAGAAATGTCGCTCAAACAACTCCTTGTGTGCTATAACCCACGTAAATTTTCGCTCACTCGTGCTTTTATTAAGAAGACCAACGTTGGTGTTAATGGGAATGTTGCCGATGCAGCTGAGACAGCTAAGACGGATGTAGCAGATATGTCCCCACCCCATGATATGGAAATTGCACGACGATTACATGAGGAGCTTGTGGGGTATATAGGCTCAGGAGCAACTCCTGTTCGGAATAATAAACTTCACCGTGAGTCTGCAGCGCACTGGGATTCTGAAGATGCACTCATTGCCGCTCTTACCGAGTTTCCTGCGCTGAGATTTGCTGTTGTTGGCCCACCTGGAAGTGGCAAAACTCGACTAGCCCGTGTACTAGCACGAAAACTTGAATTGAAGTATCTGTCACTTGATGGAGCTGTGCAACGTGCTGTCGATCATAAGCTTCGCTCGCGTCGGCGCCGAACACCTATTGCTATGCCTGCAGAAGACGACTCAAATGTCGAAACTGTTCCACCAGAGACAACAGAAGGAGGCGAGAAAGTTGAGATTGACAACGCCGACGGAGATCAAGAAATGGATCAGATTTTCACAGATGAAGACCTTGATGCACTTTGTGCCGGACGAACAGTACCTCGAAGCACAGCACTTGCTGTACTACGAATAGAAGCCACGCGTTTGTTGCTCGGTACGTTTGTACGTCATCGCTGGTATAGATAGCGATACTTTTAACGCGCTTGTGGTTTGTTTCTTGTAGCCGGCGTTGGGGTGGTGATGGATGACATATATCCGGACGAACTGTCAACTTCAGACAACCAAGATCGCAGCATAGCAGTAGACTATTTGGTGGCACTCACAGCGTTACCCAGTGAACTGGAATACCAGCTCAAAGGCTCTGAGTTGGCTCCTGTAGCTGGTCGTTTGTACTCAGTCCGGGAGCTTGCCACTCTGAGAACGACAAGTAGCGAGGATTTGGCTGCCAAAGGCTTTGCAGATTCTCTCTTGCCTCCGAAGACACTGGAAGCAGAAGCAGAGAAGTTGCAAGAACCTATTGTAGTTACTAAAAATATTGAGGCTGATCCGAACAGTGAAGATCAGGACGTCGAGGCTTCTCCAGAGGAAATCGAAGACAGCGGCCTTGTTCCACCATACGAACCTGATCTGCCACCGGAACCAACTGCTGCAGAACGCAATGAGATTGATACACCGAATGAGCCCACCTTACCATTCGGTTCATTTAGTGCACTAAAATGTATCAAGAAATATCATGGGTACGTGATACGTATGCAGCGCGAACTCGCGATGCGCCGAGCTGGTAACCAGTCGAACTGTCATTTGGTGGTGGTGTTGGCAACTCAATCTCTCAACGTAATCCGAGACCACTGCATCCAGGCGATCACGGGGGTATGTAGTTTCCTAGTACTTGAGCAATTTTTATACTTACTTTTATGTTCAACTTGCTAGACTTTGCTTGGTTTGTCGCGGTTCAGCATCCCACGAGAAGCTTGTCCAATATCCCTGCCTGACGATCTGACCGGTTCTAGCCGAAGTGAAAAACTGAAGTGGCTGTTGTATGGAGACTGGAGTACACTTCTTGAAGCCGAATCAAGCGAGTCATTTGCACGGCTGCCTAGACGTGACGCAAAACGCAGACTGCTATCAAAGTGGCGTGAGTTTTGTCCCGTTCTGTCGACTTCTACCAACACTCTGCGGCTAGGCGAGCCAGAGTTTGCTGCATGTTACTCTGGTCGAGTCTATTTTTTCTCATCACAACACACACGACGCGATTTCTGTGCACATCCACTGCAGTATTTGCGCCGAGATATACCAGTTGCATCCGCGCATCGAAAGTTTTGGCTCGTCACGACCGGCGCTAGCGAAATCATGACACCTTCATACCTCGAGACACTAGAGACTGGACTCCAAGTGCAGACTGTGTCTCCTTCGAAATTGGTCAAGACTTCATCCATTTCCTTGGAAATGCGACTTATGAGTGGACAAATTGTCTCCTCTGTTGAAGCTGCAACAGCAGCCGCTGAAGCTGTCAAGGCATTGCTAGCCAAATCTAACACGACAACAGGGTGGATGATCGCAGATCTGCCTCTCATTCGGAGCGTCGCTGCTGTTCTACTGGAACATGGATGTGTACCCGACGTAATTTTGTTGTTGGACAGAGAAATCGCTGCTCAAGAGGAAGAAGTTAAAAGTACCGACGCTCTTGATGCTTTATCAGTACTTCGACGTCAGCAATTTGAGGCTGAGAAATCTAGTGCTGACGATATCTCACAAGGTCTTGGTAGTGTGCCTCGCGTCATTACATGTCCGTTGTTCAGCCAACCTTGTGACACGTTAGCAGCAATCGATCGTGAACTAAACCCAATTGCACCACGCTTGGATAGTATCGAAGATGGCCATGCTCCACAGCTCGTTGACGAGTACGATCCAACCGTGATATTTGCCCCACCAGTTCCCCAAAAGGATGAAGAAAAACAAGAAAAGAAATTGTCACAAGACGGAGAGACACCAAATCCTGAGGCCGAAATGCAAGCCGGAGCAGCACGGAATAGAGCGCTTCAGCTTCAGGGAGAGTGTGGACGATTCTGTCCTGTGTCATGGCGTACACGCGGCCTGTTGATACCTGGTTTGCCATCTCATGTTCGTTCATTTCGACAGAAATTCTACGCATTTGCTGGTGAATCTGAGCGCCGCGCTTTCGAGCGAAACCCAAGCGCTTTCATTCCAGATAGCTCCTGTGCAACTGCGAACTTCGTGCCTTGTGTGCTGCTACTTGGTGTTCGAGGCTCCGGGCGTGGTGGAATCGCTGCAGCACTATCTCAACCACAAATGGAAGACATCAATTCCTCTGCACAGTACGTCAATGTCGACTTGACTGCAGTTGCAAGAATTGCTGAACGCAACCAACAGCTACAAGATCTCAAACCGGAAGAATCACGCTTGACGGTCGAAGAAATCTTTGTCCAAGCGCTCCAACCGGAGCTTCAACGACACCAGCTAAACCGTGATAAACCAGTAGCACAAGTTATCGCCGGACTGGGACCAGAAGATTCACGCATTCCAAACGCTGCAACTTTAGAGGTGTGTTTCAAGAACGGTCTCTTTCCAGCCCTTGTTCTTCCTTTGACGGTATCGGAGGAGGATGCTGTCAACAATTTGTTGACGCGATGGGCTGCCAATCTGCCGGCACCTCGTCGAAAGCTTGCTATTAGCCGAAAAAAGGAGGTAAATGGCGAAGCTGACGACGATGTCGCCCCTCCAGAAGAAGCTGAAGAAGAAGAACCGATCAACTTGGAAGCCGCGCGAGAAGAAGAAAGCACTCGATTGCACGAACAATTCACTGAAGACCAGAAATCGTTGGACGAGGCTATCGCTGGACTTCGAGCTCGAGGTGTCAGAGTATGCGATCCGGTGGATGCGACCAGTGCACCAAGACAAGTGGTCAAACATGTGAGACGGATTCTTGATGAGTTCATGGTTGGACGAGAGTCACTATTTGAGCGCTGCGAAGTTCTGGACATGACGGCGGGAGGCAAAATGTATCAGATGTTAGCGTCAGGAGAACTTCTTGTCGGTAAGCACGGCATTGCTTGTCCTGTTACTGGACGTACGGATTCATTATCGACCACCACGATGAAAGCGATTGTGTATCGAGACCAGCTTTACTTCCCGAGATCACGTGAAGCCCGTCGTGCTTTTATGGCTTGTCCGTCAAGATACTTGGATAAAATCAGTCTTCCACCAAGACATCAGTCGACTTGTTGTGTGGTTGGTCCTCCATATTCAGGCAAGACTCGAGTGGCGCAAGAACTCTCCAACGCACTCGGATTGATCTACGTGTCTCCCCAAAGTGCAGTAGATTGGGTGATTCAGTGTCAGGGCGGTTCCACGCTACGGGGTCGTTTACTGGAAATCACAGAGCAGCAACGTGATCCTCTAACCAACCGTGACATCATTCATGAAGTTATCTGCACTCGTCTACGCTCCTCCGAGTGTCAAACTCGTGGTTGGATTCTTGACGGATATATGTTAAACCACCATGAACTGCAATGCAGTCTTCTGATTTCCAACGAGACAGAGAGCATTCAGCCAGACATGCTCTTCGTTCTTGAACGTAGCTTCACTAGTGTCTGGCATGATCAACACACCAACGTGGAGCGGAGCGATCTTCGAACTGCATTTGCACGATGGCATCATTACCGTCTGGAGCTCATTGACGTCTGGATTCGACGCTTTGGTGTCTTCCACTTACGTCAACTTGACGGCTCAAGCACCTCGCTCTGGCACGTAGCTGCGCAGGTTCAAGCATTTCTCACCGAGCAGCAGCAGTTGGCATCGCATCACACCATAGCAATGGTTTGCAACCGAGCTGCTCGCTCTTTAGGTGTCGTACGTACTCGTGAAGAGCTTCGATCGCGTCAGCACCCTATCTTCCGGACATTCTGTCCTGTAGAGCTGCATGCCGGGAGATTTTACCATTCGCGTCAATCCAATCGTGACTTGTGCGTAGATTTCCGCGGCTTCAGTTTCTGGCTCGGAGATGAACAAAATATGCAACAATTCGTGGCGAGTCCTGAGGCTTTTGTCGGATACTTAGCAGACCAAACACCAGACGAATCATGGACGACACAAGAAGAAGCCGAGAGTGAAGCACAGACACTTGTGGCTAGAGCTCCAGTAAACGCTTCACTCTTGAGCTTGCTGACAGTGCCAGACTGCGATTTTCCGGAGTTGAAAGGCTACTGCCCGGTCACATTTGCGTCGGGATCAGGGGCCAAGGACTGGGCTGCACTGCGCCATGGAGACGTCTTCTTCCGCGCGTCGTACCGCTCTAAGGTCTATTGCTTCGTCTCGGAGGAAGCACGACGTAAATTCTGCGCTGAACCATCTCGATATACGTCACAGAGCTTGCCAGTCAAGTTGCCACCCCAGGTGAAACTAGCCAAGAGCTATCCTGGCCAATTAGAGCAGCAGCTTGGAGCTGCCCTTAACGAAGTTCTGCTTGCACTGGGTAGTGAACGTCCTAAATTCCCACAGATGTCGATACGTGCTTCGGCTTGTGCGTATCTTGCACTCTCGCTCAAGGCCTTGCAGCGACGCTATCAATTGAAGATGAAGCCTGACCCACGGTCGGCACGCGATGAAGACGAACCTGATGAGGAGCAGAAGAAAAGACAGCAACGACGAGAAGAGCAGGCGGAACAAGAGGCGATTGCAAAGCGAGATGCCTTCGTGAGCGACTGCCGACTTGGAGAAAAGCTCAAGGCACTCGCCACTCCTGCACATCCATCCTGTGGCTCGGGCGCTAAGGTTGCACGCAACATGCGCGCTGCACAGGACTCACAAGCCGGCAACAAAGCAGAGAGCACTCAACCTGCACTAGCCAACGAAGACATCGAGGTGCTTCGTCATCGACTCGATGTTATTGTCTCCGGCACTAGTGACGACAAACCACTGTCAGTAGACCCACACACGGTACGCATGCACGCCAGAGCAGCGTTCCTCGAGTACACAAAGGCTTCTACTTCTAGCTAGGAGCACAACAAAGTGAGCAATAAACAAACGTTGATTCTCAACAGGATATTCTACCTTGATCTCCGTCCTTTAGTTATGTTTCTGCAGCAGAGGCGTCGACTCCGTCACGTCGATAGCTACTTGATGCTGTTGTAGTCCCCAGTCACCACCGAATGGCGGCTTCCAAAGGTTAAGTAGCAGTGAGAAGAGAATCACCGGCACGGACGATAGCAGTTCCGACAGGCCAGCGAGGGCTGGAGGGATCCAAATCCCGAGCGGAGCATACAACGCACCACACGCGATGGGCATCATCAGTAGATTGTACATGAACCCCCACGCAAAGTTGTGCTTGATCCGTCGGTTGGTAGCACTCGAAAGCGCTCGGGCATTGAGTAGATCACGCAGATCGTCCTTAACCAGCACAACGTCGGCAGCGTCGAGCGCCACGTCAGTTCCAGCTCCAAGTGCGACACCGACATCGGCCGTTGCCAGCGCTGGCGCGTCGTTCACACCGTCTCCAATAAATGCAACGCGCAGACCCAGACTCTGTAACAAGCGCACCTTGTCCACCTTCTGATGAGGCAGACTTTCAGCCAGCACAGAGCCTTCAGGCACGCCCAGTGCCGCTGCCACACTCATAGCTATACCGCGCTGATCTCCAGTAACAATCCATGGCTGAACTCCATCGCGCTTTAACTGCTCAATGACACGCTTCGCTTCCGGACGCGATGTATCGCGCAACGCTATTGCAGCTACCAATTCTCCATCAATGACAACGAACACCACAATGCTGCCTTGAGCCTGGAAACGTGGTTTGCTTCGACAAACCCGGGAGGAATTCGGAGAGAGTGACAGTCACCGTATGTCTGCTGTTTAAGCCAGGTGAGAGAACCAAGACGCACGTCAACACCGCGCACTGTGCAGTGGACACCACACCCTGGAACGGCCTCGAATCCTTGTGCTTCTTCAATCTGCAAACCTTGGAGCTGAGTCTCCGCGTGCGCTACGAGAGCTTTACCAATCGAGTGCTCACTGCTCTTCTCTGCAACAGCTACGAAACTCCAGAGTTGTGTCTTATCAACGCCGTCTTGGGGGGCAAAGACATTAGCAACTCCAAGTTGTGCAGTGGTGAGGGTACCCGTCTTGTCAAACACGACAGCATCCACTTCTTCAAGCGCCTCCAATGCGCGTCCACCCTTGAAGAGAATACCCACCTGCGAACCTTTAGTCGTCGCCACCATGACTGCAGTCGGCACGGCTAGACTAATTGCACATGGACAGCTAATAACGAGCACCGTGATCGCAAAGCGCAGCGCGAACGGAAAAGGAGCCCAGCCCTGAGTGTCCACATCTCCGTGCTTAGCGAGCGAATACCAGACCATGAACATCACACCGGCTAGGATGATAATGAATGTGGTAAAGTATGCAGCCACCGCATCAGCAATGCTCTGGCGAACACCGCGAGATGCCTGGGCTTCTCCTACGAGCCTCACCATACGTGCTAGCATGGATTCGTGAATGGTGTGGGTTACTCGCATGGTTAGAACTCCCTGCGCGTTGATAGATCCACCGATCACAATCGCCCCAGGCTCTTTGGGCACTTTACGAGCCTCACCCGTCACCATGGACTCATCCACTGAGCTAGCACCTCCAACAACCACGCCATCCGTTGGAATTCGTGTACCTGGAAGGACTTTAAGCAGATCACCACGTTCCACCAGCACCACGTCAATATACTGTTCCTTCTCGTCCCCTTCTTCAAGCAAAATAGCAGTCTTGGCTTGCATACGCAGCAGTGCATCCACACTGTTCGAGGCACGAGCTTTCACCAGTGTTTCGATGTACCGGCCGACGAGGATGAGAGTAACAAGCAGCACTGTGACTTGGAAGAAAGTATCAGCTTTAGCTGGCGTCTCCACGAGAGACGGGGGAAGCGTCAACCCAGTCGAAGGATCAATCACTGCTCCTTGTGGTTGAGACTTGGCCAGTGCACCCGTAACAACAGTGAAAACCGAGAACGTGTAGGCTGTGCAGGCGCTTAGCGAGATGAGAACGTCCATGGTAACGCGCCCACCGTAACGCAACGCGAGGAAAGCGCTCTCATGTATGGGACGCGCCACGACGAAGAGCACAGGCGTCGCGCATGCCAATTCCACAGCATCTTTAACGCTCAAACGGTTTGCAGTACCCCAGAGTCCCACATCAGCTGGATTACTGTCAGAAGAGGGATACAGCACCGGGAGCACGAACTCGACGAAGATTACCGGCAGCGACAGCAAGCAGCTCCACATCAAGAGCCTTGTAAATCGTCGTACTTCTTCCTCGCCAGCACGAACCGATGGAGCACGCGGAGTTGACGCTTGAACGGTAAATCCTAACTCCCGAGACAGTTGACGAACAATTCTACGAGCACCTGTGACGTCTGGATTGTACTCAACCAGCAATGCCTTGCCCTGTGAAGCTGAGGATACCGCTGGTTCATTAACATCTTCAGCAGAAACGACTCCAGCAATCTCGAGTGACAACTTCTTGGCTTTAAAGGAGCTCTCGGATTGACCAAGATGCAGAATGACACTCACAAGGTCGTCACTGGACAACACACTGGGCTCAAACCCCAAGGTGGCCACTGTCTCCTCGATATGCTTCGCCGTGACTAGTTGCGGATCGAACTGGAAGATCCCGCGACTCGTAAGCAGACTCACATTGACGTCCGTGACACCACGCTGTGTACTCATGAACTTCTCGATGCGCGTACAGCAGCCACTGCATGTCATGCCACTGATGTTCAAGCGGAGAATCTCCAGCGAATCACTTGTTTCCTTCTTCCGTCCTGAGCCTTCAGACTGAGGTCGTTGTTGCTCGAGAGAAGCTCCACGATCGCTGCGGAACTGCATCAACCGCTTCAAAAAGCTGGGAGTTCTCTCCGGATGCGGAAGATCCTGCTCTTTGGACGAACAACAACCTGATCCGGGTGCTATCTTCTTGGTCTTAGAGGACGAGCAGCAGCCATTTGAGCTAGTCTTCGGAGCGTCCGATGAGCTGCAACTAGACTTCTTTGTCCCCTTCTTGGAGGCACAACAATCGTCAGCTTTAGTTTCCAGCTCTGGCTCACTGGAGCAGCATCCAGACGACGCCTTCTTCTCCTTAGACGCACAACAACCGTCGACTTCGATTTTAACCTCTGGGACCCTCGATGATGAACAGCAGTTGGAGCCGGTCGCATCCTCCTTCTTCTTCGACGAGCAACAACCTGACTTCTTGGGTTTCTTCTCGGACGCACCAGAGTCTCCGCAAGTCTCCTGCTTCTTCGACGAGCAACAGCCAGCTTTCTTTGAGCGTTCCTTAGGCGGACCAGAGTTACCAGTAATCTCCTGCTTCTTCGACGAGCAACAACAAGATTTCTTTGGTTCTTCCTTGGACGCAGCAGAGACTGCAGAGGTCTCCAACTTCTTGGATGAGCAGCAGCTTGATGGCTTAAGGTTTGTACTGGCACAACCGGCTTTCACCTTTCCCACTGCAACATCCACGGGCTCCACCCACCCATCGGTCTCAGTAGTGTCAGCTTTGCAGCAACTAGCGTCGTCCTTGGAGCCTCCAATGGAGGAGCTGCAGTTGTCCACAGTCTCCTCTTCCTCAGTACAACAGCCGTCAGCGCATCCTTCCTGTCCTTCAACCTCCTCATTCACCACGTCGACGTCTTCGTCGCTGCTGGAGCAGGACACAGCGGTATCTCCTCCGTCGCTCTTGACACCGCCGCAACATCCACCAGCGCTCGAGGGCTCCGGCGTCTCAGTCGTCACGGAGTCAGCCAGCGTCGGCGAGGCGTTCGAACGACGTCCTTTGCGTTTTCCCATGAGTTTACTACTGTATCTACTTGTTGTCGCAGGGTGGCGTGTTGAGCGCGCGGTGTAATAAAGACTGCGGGACTTGTACTGGAAGGATTCGTACCGCTTCAACAAAAAAAAGTTGTTATGATATAACGTTGCGCAAAGGCAACGTAAAAAATTCTATGTTGCCCAAAAATTGAGATTAATGTTGCGGATAATTCATGATTGCATGAACATTTTGGTCGATTTTTGAGGTATCCTAACCAAACGAATATGTATCATCATAAGTTTTGCGACGGTCGTATGGTAACCCGGGTCAAGTTGACCCGGTCAACGCCAACCTGTTCAAGCAAATTTTGCTCAACATCCGGACCGGGCCGGATTAAATTAACCGCTGAACCGCCGATTTGTGCACGGTACCTCGTTTTTGCGTACGCCACACCATCTTTTGTGGTTGGCTGTCGTTTGATCTTGTCTGACGCTTTATCTCGCTCAGTTCTTTTCAGACAGGTAAGCTGCCACCGTTATGTCGAGCGGCTTTTAGTCCCTGCTCTAATGCTCATATCTACATCTCAGGTATATTCATCACCATGCCGAAGACTGCCAACGTCGTCCTTGCCCGTGGCATCAACGCCATCTCTCGCAACAGCCTCTCGAAGAAGAATGGCCGTGGCAAGATGATCAAGAAGGGTGGCGAGAAGAAGGTCGCCGCCAAGAAGGTGTCCACCAAGAAGTGGTACCCGGCTGACTACATCCCGAAGCCGCTGCCGTCGGCCAAGACCAAGCGCAACAGCGTTAAGACCGCCAAGCTGCGCAAGTCCATCACCCCCGGCACGGTCCTGATTCTTCTGTCGGGCCGCTTCCGTGGCAAGCGCGTGGTCTTCCTCAAGCAGCTCGCTTCGGGCCTGCTGCTCGTCACTGGTAAGTCACAGCTTGCATTCCTACAGTCTCGACCTGGAGCCGGCATTCCGATGATGCAAACTTGACACTTCGAGAGGCGCTCTGCCACCCCCTCATTCGTCTGTGATGCTTCCACGTCTCGTGCCTCGCGCCGTTCGGCTTCATCGCACCACCCTTTTATAAGGAGTCTGGTGTTGGTGTTGCTGCCGTGGGGCATGCGGTTTCCGATGGTTGTATACACGGATAGGTGAGGGGTGTCTTTTTGCCGACGATCCATCAGATTATGAGACCTGAGGAATGTCGGATTTAGGGGACAAGGTCACACTATTTTTTATAAGGCTGTTGCTGACTGGTTAAACTACATTATTCAGGCCCGTACAAGGTCAACGGTGTGCCCCTCCGTCGCGTGAACCAGTCGTATGTGATCGCCACGTCGACCAAGGTGAACGTTGAGGGCCTGGAGCTCCCTGCCATCGACGACGCCTACTTCGCCAAGGAGAAGGCAGCCAAGAAGAGCAAGGAGGAGCAGTTCTTCGCCCAGTCCAGCGCCGTAAGTTCCCTATTTCATTTTTTGCTATCCCTTGAAAGCATCCCGTTCCGGTTGGTCGGTTCTTCGAAACCACTACACTCGATCCGCCCACAACCAGCAGCGTAGTGGTGACGCAATGGAGTATCAAGATCGACGAACCCTATGAGATCTCTCTTGTTCTTCGATTGCTGAACCGCTTCCTGTGTGGCAGATCAGACAGGGAGCTCAATGTCTTTAGACACAGCTTCCTGTCACACCATATGAGCGCTTGGGATCGCTTGCTTCGGCATATAAGCTCCCTATAAGAGACTGACCGTGTTGCTGTTAATTCTCTAAGGCCCCCGTCATCTCGGAGCAGCGCAAGAAGGACCAGAAGGCCGTGGACTCGGCTCTGATCAAGAAGCTCGATGCCGAGCCGTTCCTCAAGGCCTACCTGAACGCTAAGTTCTCGCTGACCAAGAACGACCGCGCTCACGCCCTCAAGTTCTAAGTGCGCTCTTGCTATCTTGTGTAGTAGCATGGTGTGCAACGGAATGAGATGAAAAGAACAATATACCTGATGAAATTATCACCAACTTTTAACTTTTCATTCATCCTAGAATTTCGTCAAGTAAATCTTGAAGTAAGATGCTATCGCTTTTAGAGTCGTCATCGTATTCGCTATTGTTCTCTGATGCGAATTTCCTAGTTGAGTGAACGGTATCACTCTCACTCGCTAGCGCGTTGTAGCTGGAGCTCTTCTTGATGGAACCCCCTTTGAAAAGGCCTCCACCATTTTGAATAGGGGGGACAGTTTTCGTATCAGCTACGTCATCATATACACCAGGACGAGAACTGACGAGCGAAGATCCCCATTCTTGGTGCCGTGAATGAGTCTGCTGTCTCTCCTTGGCAGTCAACAAATGGTGTTCTTGTCGCGATGATAACCCACTTCCAGCCCAATAGCTTGAAGTCTCAAGGTCATCTGACTTCTTCGCACAGACACTTGATCGTCCTGTATAGCTCGAATAGCCTCCGATAGACTTGCAATCGCCCCGGAGTGGCAATACGGGCACTTCTTCCACTGGCATCACTAACGGAGGTATAGTTAATGTAGGTCGTGGCACAGCTTGGTCGAAAAAGCGGTGTTGGAGCGCTTGCGCTGCTGTAATACGTCGACTAGGGTCGTATTGTAACAGATCTCGTACAAGTTGAACAGCTGAGGAGGGTGTACCTGAAGGCAGAATTCGCTTCCAAGACACTGGAGTACACTTAGGAAATCGAGCTTGCATGTGAGAGGCCATTGCTGCACCTTCGGGCCACGTTTCCGTAGTAGGTGTGCCAAGAACTTTGCAGATGCGATAGAATTGATCCGCTTCGGACGTTCCAGGAAATAACGGGGTACAGATCAGGAGCTCAACTAATATACATCCACAGGCCCACATGTCGATTGGGCTGTTGTATGTCGTTGAGTGCAGCAATAGCTCTGGTGCTCGGTACCATCGCGTTGCAACATAGTCGGTGAATGGTGGCCGTGATCGGATCTCACGAGCTTGACCCAAGTCTGCGATTTTAAGTGTATCATCGTGACACAACAGGTTTTCTGGCTTAATGTCGCGGTGGAAGAAGCCGTGCTTGTGCATGTATGCAAGACCACTGAAAAGCTGGAACATAATCGATCGTATCTGCGCCTCCGAGAACCAGGGATGCGGCGGTGAGGATGAAGTGGACGTGTCGGAACTCGAGCTTGTATCGCCACCAAAACCGCTGTAGCTGTTGGCACTGACTTGACTTTTAAAGTTACGCATAACTCGGAAAAGCGACGTCTGCAGGTACTCGAATACGAAGTAAAGCTCTTCTTTGTCTCGAATAACCTCTTTCAGCAACACAATGTTATCATGGCGCAGTATTCGAAGCGACTTGAGCTCACGCAATTGGAGGCACTCCTCCCAAGTGGGAAATATCGCCTTGATCTTCTTCACAGCCACAATTTCCTTCGTCTTAAGACTCCGAGCACGCGAAACTTCACCGAACGCGCCATCACCGAGTTTGTCCAGTATCTCATAACGATTCATCTTCTGCTACGTGAATTGTAGACTCCTCGACTTGACTGATGAGGCTTATTTTTTAATTTGCTGGGTTATTTTTACAACCAAGCCACAAACAACATAACACAAGGTGACGTCAACACTAGCAAGAACCCCTTGTTGCTGAGTATATATGGTCTACGTCGCCTATTATGTGGTCTATGACGCCTTGGTAAGCTTGCTATAGCTCTCAATCATCCATCGGAGTGTGCGTGCTATCGTATCAATGTCGACCTTGTGGAGTGCACTATTATAGAATCACACCTGGTTAGGAAGTGTTGTGAACAACAAAGACTTTCAGCGCTTACCTGACTGGAAGCACAGCAAGATCAGTGGACTGGCGCAGCTTGTGAAAGCTGTCTTCGGCGCCTGTGAAAATACCAAAACGTATTGTTAAGATACCCGACAGCACTGGATGACGACATCATCGCAGAGATAATATCTATACGGGTGCAAGTCGTACCTTGCTCATCCATCTTGTTGGCAACGATGAGGGAAGGACGTGACGAGATTCCTGGGGCATACAGCTCCAGTTCCCTTTGGAGATGGGTAAAGTCCTCCAGGGGATCACGTCCCTCTGAGCCCGCGGTATCAAGGACGTACATCAAGATCTATATTGCCATCGTCACGCAAATTGGTTATCGAGTATCCAGTTCAGCATGCCGGACAATTTCCATACCTTTGTGCGCTCAATGTGACGCAAGAAGTCGTGACCAAGACCGACATTGCGGTGCGCACCGTCGATAAGTCCGGGAATGTCAGCCACACTCAGCCGGAAAGTGTCTGGGAATTCCACAATGCCCACGTACGGGTGAAGCGTCGTGAACGGGTACGGCGCGATCTCAGGCGTGGCGCGGCTCAGCACACTCAGCAAGGTAGACTTGCCAGCGTTGGGATATCCAACCAAACCAACATCGGCAATTGTCTTGAGCTCCAACTCGTAATACTGCGACGTACCCGGCGAGCCCGTAGTTTTGCTCTCAGGCATGTGCTTGCGCAGCCGACCGAACTTGGTCGTCTTTCCAGCCAGGATGCGGTTGCCCAGTCCAGGTTTACCGCCCTTAGCAGCGAGGAAGGTAGCACCAGGTTTGTCCAAGTCAGCGACAACTTCCATCCTATCTACAATCTCATACTCGCCGTCCTCGAGCTCGCGCTCGTAGCGCTCCACACGCTTGACGAGTGTGCCACACGGCACCTTCACGTGGCAATGCTTGCCCCTCCTACCCGCGGAATCGTTTGCTGCAGCCACACAACAAATACCAACATAACAGTCAGCCTCACTAAAAGAATTGCACTCAACCACAAATCATTGCAGGACGTACGCATGCCGTTGGTGCCTGCTCCGCCCTTGAAGTGGTGCGTGGCGTTTGCCAGATTCTGCATCTTATCACTGGCTTCGATCACCACGTCGCCTCCAGCGCCGCCGTGTCCACCATTGGGACGTTTGCGCATGGCTGACTCGGAGAAGAAGCTCGCGCAGCCGTTGCCACCGTGACCTCCCGTTGCCTTGACGCGGATGCGGTCCACGAAGCGGCGCTTCGAGTGCTTCGCACGCCGAATGCTCACCTTCTGCTTCACGTGTTCCTCCACTTTACGGCGACCGGCAGACGCTACATCGCCATCGTCGTCCAGCGTCCAGTCATCCAGCTCGAGGTCGTCCATGTCGTCCCAGTCCAGCTCCAGGTCCTCCAGTTCCAGGTCACGGTCATCATCTTCATCGTCACCGCCTTGAGCGCTGAATGCACGCACCGACGAGCGATTGAAGATGGTGCGGCGACGCACCGGTGCAGCGGTTAAGCCTCGGAGCAGGTTGGACACGCGCAGCATGGTTGACGTCTTCGAGCTTGGTAGCGGTCCAGCACTTCGATGGTTGCCTTGGTACTGTAGCTAGTTTCAAAAGCACTTCGAAGTATACACACACCACATCATTTTCCAAAATTGCGCATCTCTCTCTGGACTATTTGGGGACCCGCATCTTGGTTTCAGTATGCTTCTTTTATAAAATTCCACGCTCGGTTTGTGATGCGTTACTTTGCGATCAACCTAAAGTAGCGCAAAGTAACGCTTAATTGCGCAGCGTAAAAACACTATTTTTGTTAAATCAAACGTAAAACACTTTTAAAAATGTATTTTAAATATTTTTACATTTGTTTTTAAACTAAAAATGGTGAAACAAAATCAAATTACAATAACTGGCTAATAATAAAATCAACCAATTATTGTAATTCGCCATTCAAAAAAGGTGAAACGGCAAGGTTTATTTGGAACCCATCTCAAAATAGTCAAATTTT